AAATATGTTACAGGGGACATTAGTTTTTGCTTATGACATTTGATTTAAATACATAGTAAAATAACACCGTTAGTTCTGAGGTAATAACTATAATGCATCTAATATTGGTTGCCAAATTTCATCAAAAATATCTATAATACTTTTTGAGCAATATGCTGCCTTTTCAAGTAGTAAGTTCTTTTTCAGAAGGTATAAAAAGGCATGAAAACTTGGTTCTTTTTTTAAGGACATTCAAATTAGCTATAGACACTGAATATATATAAAACTTAGAAATACAGAAATTCAAACTATCACGTTTTCTCTCATACAGACCTAATATAACATTTTGACAAGATAGCTTGTCTATGTGGAAAATGTATAAATAATTCCACCAAGTTAGAAAGTGGTTCCAAATTGTAGCAACACAAGTACAGTAATAAAACTTGTGTTTCTATAGTACATGTATTTTCCTTTTAACATAAAAAAAACATTGGGTGGAAGTTTATAATGAGATAAAAATCTATGAGTTAGCTTATACTGAAAAGACTGTAGTGATGTTTCATTAGAACATACAAAAGGTAGCATGAAAATTTTTTCCAAGTTTGTGAGAAATTTGTTTTAAGTATTTCCTCCCATTTTTGTACACATCTTGGTATATGGAATTGCATTTCTTAAACAAAGGTAATCAAAAAAGGTATATTCGAATCATACAGATTACTTAATTCTTCTTGGCTTAAAAAATCATAATTATCACCTAAAATATCTCCAATAAATAGGATACCTTTTTTATCCGTTTTTTCCAAAACATTGTCTCATTATTTATTTTAATGTTATAATTGAACCAAAGAGCTTCTTTAAATATCATTGGTTCAATATTGGACTTTTCCGAGAAGCGCCGACTTTTATAAAAGACGGCTCACTTTAACACTAGGACAGTATATGGAAGTTCTTTTGCGATATAAATATTAAGCTTAACAGTTAATCAAACGATAATAATGGTCCATTTCAAAGCACATATTACGTTGTCTAGGAAGGGAACGGCAACCATCCTACCCTCAACCCCCTCCCTTCCCACATTGACCAACTTTTGTTTAGTTTTCCTTCCGGAATGTTTTTTCTTCCTTATTTGATTCCTTCAAAAAATGAGATTGAAAGGAGATACTAACCCTCACGATAAATAAATAAAGCTACGTAATTCTGCCTTCCATCATCACTTGCGTTGATTGCATACCAGTTAATCATGTAAGTGCCCCAAACAAAATACCTATAACCACTATTAAGGTTTTCTTATTTATTATCAATTCCGTACCTCCGTACATAAGGCAGGTTTAAATGTCAAAGTAAGTCGTCGATTGTAAAAGTCAGTGCTTCTCGCAAAAGTCCATTAATATCATTACATTTAAGTTGTGTACATGTTTCAAAAATGTATCTGTAAAATTGTGGAAATAATGAACATGCATGTAGCCTATTTATACAACCTCTGGTAATTATAAAATCATTCAGTTCTATATCATTCAGGTAAGATTGAATTATACTTCTCTATCTTACTTTTGTATTAATAAATATCCTTATCCAACCAAGTTTCAATGATTTCATTTGTGCTTCAAGATTAGGAAATTTCAATCCACCCTTAGTGACTTTTTGGCAGGAGACTGAACATTTAACTTTTGGATTTTCATTATTCCATTTAACTTATTCAGTTCTTTAGACACCTCCTTTATCATTTGTGGGGGAATTGGAAGTACGTGTGCTTGGTATACTATTTTTGATTTAACTAAAGTTTTTACAATTAGAATTTTGCCAATAAATGTTAAATTCTCATTTTCCATAGATTCCAAGTTGCTTTTTAGTAAGGGTTTTTTGTTCACCGCTTGAACTAAACCAAATACCAAGAGTAAAAATTGACCTTAAGACCATTTCACCGGCAAGATTTCTGGTTTGAAGTTTTTGTTCTTTCCTATCCAAATTGCTTCAGTTTTATTCAAATTAATTTTCAGACCAGGACAGTACTTAAATTTTCGAATAATATTTAATATTTCAATTCCTGATTTTTCATCACTTAGAAAACATGTAGTGTCGTCTGCTAACTGGCTAATCTTAAATTCTGTCTCCCCTATTTTTATTCCACGTATATTTCTATTTGCCCTTATGTTTATTTTTGTGTATTATACTTTATTATTATTGCCTTTATCCTGTTTAATTGAATGTCCATTTCTTTAGGGGCGGATTTTACGTACATGCGTATATCTTATTGATAAAGATAATTTGTTAGATAATTTCTCAGATGTTCATCTAATGATTTAGGCATTGTTTAAATATTTTTTGTAAACTTGTTGGAAATCTATTTTAGAAATTCAATTGTTCTGTTTGATCTCTAAAAAGAGAATTACCATGTTTGTAATTTCAATTTGACACGCCTCTTCCCTTCTCACGGTATCTATGATATTCGCTCAGAATTGTGATCAGATTTATGGTCAGATATTAGACTGTTTTTTTAGTATGTTATGCTCACTCACAATGTATCCTGTTCTGTAAATTAATGACATTGAGCTTTCCCCCAGTTTTACTACTGTCTTTATAACTTGTTTTATTGGTTCATTTATGAAAAAGAGGGATGAGTTGTTTCAGATGAGACGTGCGTGAGTTTGTCTGTTATTCACCCTCTTACAAATGTTTGTGTTAAAATGCATTTTTCGGTTTGCAATTTTGGACTTTAATAAATTTTAACAAGGATATTATCATTTTAAAAATAGCGTAAACATTACATGGTGGAGAGATAAATGGTATGCTGAACAACATTGGCGACATTAATATCTGGATTACTATAGTGGTAACAAAATAGTCTTTGTTGGTTATAGTGTACTTTGCAAGGTCGTCTTCTCGTTAGCGTCCGATTCAGAAATCAGGGGAAAATTCGTCAAAAAATTTATCATTTCAAGTCTCCACCTATATTTTTGTCCCTTCCACTTTTATTTACCCTAAAGATCGCACACATATCTAAATCATCATTTTCATTTATATTTTGGAGATAACATGATCATGCAATGGCTCAAAACAAGTAATAACATTGTTTCTACCTATATTTACATGCTTGTCGGATACATTTAAATGTTTGACCGGCAATGTATGCCCTATATCATTAAGCTATAATCATACATTTGTCCATCATAGCACAATTGAGTAAATAAACACCTGTTTAACCAATATAAACATGATATGGTACCTTTGCATTGACAATCATTCTTGAATGCGTATGGAAAGTGACATAAGATGCATTTCTTACCTTAATTTAATTTAATTTAATTTAAGTTAAAATCCATTCATAAAGACATTGATATAAAATCTTACAAAAATGCCAATGACATTAAAGATGGAGTGCCAAGAATAATTGGATGGGACAATTCCTTATTGAAAACACCAGAATAAACAGATTAGATTCCCTGTCATACAACTATATCTGGATTCTTGCAGCACCTAAATTATTAACACGCTGTCCATTTACTAACTGCACTAGAGGATTTTTAGAAGGCAAAAGATCGCTTTTTGTTTTCGAGACTAAACAATGATAGAATTTTAAAGATTTCTATTGATTATTCTACCCGAATCTGATCGTGCAGACCGAGACGGAAACCCCAGTATAAATTTTTCTTGCTGAAAAATGTCACATTTTCGGCATCGTTTGTCTTTTACTTTCAGTAACCTTGAGACAGATGCCGCTTTATCCCGGCAGTTGTCCGTTTTATTGCTGTTGTTTTTTTAACCAGAGGTGCGATTCTTATATTGATGCAGACTTGTGATGTTGACAATCGGTCGCGATATGTGCTAGCTGGTGGCATAAGGAGCATTTCAGTTGCAAACACGTTGAATGTGCCCTTTTCCAGAACAACTATGACAAATGTGGACATGCCTGCGGTCTTGATTGTAATTCCGGCCGTTAGCGACTTGGAGTCCCCAATTAATCTAGCTTGTAGTATGTCCTGTAACAAAAGGCCAACCAAGTTTGTTGCTTTGAGGCATCCGTTAAATTTCCTACGGTTGCGGTCCTTATAAAAAAGACAACTGCTGGGGTAGGGGTAGTTCAATTACAAATTTCGTGACCATATCTCGTTCTGGTTTCTGGAGTTTGGTTCCTTTTTCTAAAAGTTTGCTGTGGAAGTCCTCAATGGGTTGTGTCGGACTGAGAGAAATTCTTAAGACTCTCAAATATGACATTCTCTGCAACCATGTTAGGATCAAGCATATCAATATTGCCATATTGACATACAAACGCATTCTTCATGGAAGTCCATGTAGCCTTCGTTCTATCATCAAGAGAGTTAAACCAAATTAATATAGGTCCTTTCAGATGTAAAAAGCTGCAATGCGGCGGTTTTCCTCTCGTTATTTTTTTTTAAAACACAGGGAGACTCGAATTCTGATAGTAACTTACGTCCATATTCACTGGCAAACACAGAAAACCTCTGGATCAAAAATTTGTCGGATATAGGCAGTGGATTTTGTGTATTAAACCAGCCATAGGTTTATGCTATCTTGGACGGAATACAAGTGTTTCCTCCCAGTCGTCTATGATCACAGGTGTCACAGGTGTCGTTGAAAGTAAATCTGTAGGTGCTGGAGACACGTAATTTTCTGTTGTAAACATTGTCCATATAGACCAATTATCTCGTTCAATATATATCATTTTTAATTACAAGAATATATTATATTAAGTGCGAGAAATCGTTTGGTGTTGCAATATTGTTGCTATAGTGTAAATCAATAAAGCATGCATGAACTCAAATTTAATTTTTAAAACGGTGATTGCATTTTAATTTCTTGTTAATTTTACAGACGGGTCAGACGCTTCGGGTAACATGTAAGGTGCAACAGATAAAATAGACTACAGTGTATATTCAGAAAATCATTCAGGTGTAAAAATCACAATTTTGGCTAGGTGAGAATAAAAATGGAAGAACCATATCTTAGTGGAAATAAAGTGTTATACAATTAAATCACATTCAGAACTCGTTATGTCGAGCAGGATGTCTGGTGTAGAATTTGGGTCCTCTATGAAAAAAGAATGTTTCCATTTTCAGGAAGGGTATACTTTTGTTAATCACGGTTCTTTTGGCGCAGTTCCTTTAGTAATACAGGAGAAACAAAGAAGGTAATAATTGTTTTTGTCCATTGTCTTATTAGTATCCAATTTCAAATATTTACATTTGCTGTGTATTTCTACTAAGCCAACTGTGAAATTGTTTGAAAGTCATTTTTGTGTATACTCACGCGTAGAAATATACACGGTGAAACTCGCGCTAAAGTGACGTCACAATGAGGCTACAGAGACGTAAATAAAAATGTAACGATATAGGGCAGCAAGAAATTCAAATATTGAGTATATTATTGGTGCTTTTAAACTTGTAAAACGTAAATATAAGGAATGTTTTTAAGTTTAGTGTGAATTATTGGTGTGTAAATCACACAGACTTGCACGTAGGCATATTTTTCATGAAGCGCTAGCGCGCTTTATGAAATATGCCTACGTGACAAGTCTGTGTGATTTACACACCAATAACTCACACAAAACTTTAAAACATTCCTTAAATATATTTACATTTTACCAATGATTTTCCTTATATGACGATACTAACAAAATCGGCATTTGATTTTCGATGACATGAAGTTGGTCACATGATCAGACTGTTTATGGAAAGCAAACCACACCATACATTTGGAAGGTCCAGACTGTGACGTCACATGACGTCGTACATGTATGCTATTGATTGATTTCTATAACAAAGTCTAAATAGGTTTTTTTCCCCTTGTAATACGAACAAAAATATAATACATGTATAAGAAATAATTTTTAGGAAAACAGACAATGTCAGAAATTTGGGATGATAAATATATATAATTTTCTTTAAAATGCAATAGAATAGTATTTGTCATCAAATTACAGAATATTATAACATTTGGATGTACATAATATACTCGTAGCAAAAATCTTTCCGAATATCACACATAACATTCTAGTAAGTAGTGAAATCCATCTCCAATGGTTGATTATCATTGCACAAATAACACACTCCTTCACTTCTTTCAACAAACACCAGCATTCTGAAAATTTTGACTCGCTTATAGATACCAGATAACAGTTACACGAAAATGAGGTGTCAGGAAAATTTGGTGATCTACAGTCGGTCATTGTAGCAACATCAAAATCCAGTTTGTTCTATCACGATAATTATAGTTCATGGAATTAAGAACCCCTTTTCAATTATTCATTCAGTGTATTTGGTACACTATTAATGTCCATCCTGGTTAATTAAACTTTTATTTTATTTTTCTATTAAGTTCACAGTGAATAACTCAAATGAAAATGAAAAAATACATTCTAAGTTTAAACCGTTCATATGAAACCCTAGAGGTTTACACGCTTCCGGGAATTTTTTTTTTTTTTTTTAGATTTTTACGGCCGATAAAATTTCATCTTGCGTAATTTAACGATCAAGTATTTCATTATATCCACTTTGTTCTATATCATAGTGATGTTGCTTGTATCAGTTTTCTCTAAACCAACTTCATTAATATTTCTAAAAAAAGTACTAGTAATAAAAATTGTTTAGATCAGCTGTACATTTATTCTTTTCATGATGGCTATTTAAATATTTTCCTGTATTCCTTTTAATATGTTGTTTGTACGCTATTTTCAAAGTTTCTGACAGACATCTTGTCTGTTATATTTTATTGATGAATCCATTACTTTTTAAATAAAAATTTTTGCTGGCTAGTTTTAAATTTTCCATGGAATCTTGGGTTTTTCCACTCTGTTGTATATACGTTTAACAAGTGATTTTTTTTCTCGACGTCCTACAGTTATGATTAAGGTTCTACTAAAGGCAGACCTTTGTATATATGAAATAATTTGAATATAATTTTGGCACTGAATACTAGATTTTTTTAATATAAAAATTCTGCTACTACAAAGAGCGTATTAATATTCATTTTGTGCTAGGTAATTCTTAATAGGAAAACTTTAAGTTAAACAGTTTTTTTGTCAACTTCATTATTATGGTTTGCAGGGGATGTAACTCTCAAGTTACAAAAAATTGGAACATTAACAATATTTTAAGTTGGCCAATGTTAAAATGCTTTCTTCAAACAGAAGTTTGTCTTTAGTGGAACCTTCAAGCAATATGAGCTACATTTTTGGAAATTTTATTTTGCAGTTAAAATGTGCTGTTATGATAAATCTATATGATCAATTAGACGAAAATAAAGTATTAAAGTGTTTTAGAAGAAAGATTTCTGTACAATGGATTGTATAGTATTATGTACGAAATTAATATTGTACAGGATGACAATAATGTAATTTTGCTTCGATCATACTTTATAAATAGTTCTTCCATTGCAAATATGAACAAAAGAAATTTATAAATGTTGCAATAGTTCTCTACAATTTTGCAACAAAAATTTCCGACATCAAAGTTGCAGCTCATATTGCTTTAAACCACGGTTTTCGGACCTCGTCTTTGTGTTTTGTTGTATATATTTAACCCCTAATTTTTTGGGTTTTTTTTTGAACATTATAGTGTTTAAATGTTCTTTTTCCACTGCGTTTCCAAATTCATACGATCTTTGATTTCTTCTTTAATTTTCTTAGCCTGTCTATACTTGCTGCTCTTTTTGCAACCTTAATTTCACGCTCGATTGATCTTGAGTTTCTACCTGTGTCTGGTTAAATGGAACACTTTGAGATACCGAATGACAGAGGATTATGTGCGTCAGAGTATAAGTTAAAGAAATTTAAAACATTTAATTTGTTTACAAGAGTTAATATATAATTGTACACTTGATATCACAAAATCAACAGTATTGCTGTATTAACATGTAATAGCACCTGTAGATTTCTCACTTCCGCATCGACCGTTAAGAATAAAAAAAAGTTGTTAATACAGAAATTAAGCATCATATTGCCAAAATTATTGCTTGTTACGTCTTTTAAATGTTCTGACAAGTGGAATACCAAATGTTTCTGGTAAATTAACATCTGCATTTATAGACTGAGTCACCATTATTGCAGGCAGATCAATATGTGTCATAAAAAATAAATCAAAGATTGTTATTGTTCAAAGATTTTAAATGATTTAGGTGTTTCGTTAATTTTTCCATTGCCGTCAAAAAGCATGATTAATATAATTTTGTTTTCTCTTTACAGGCTTCTGGATGAGTCAAATAAAAATCCCGATATATTTTTCAGAAAAAGAGAAAAAATGCTTTACTTGGAAGCCAGAGATGTTGCTTCAAGATTTTTAGGCGCTAAACCGGAAAATTTAGTTTTTGTAACAAATACAACGAAAGGTAGTTTATAGTGAAGAGGTACTTTCTCGTTCATTTCTGTATCATAAAAAATATTTTGATGAAAAATCCCATATTCTGAAATATCAATATGATTTGAGAAACAATGGCAATTACATTACCATCTGGAACTCAAAGCAAAGCTCTCGTTATATCATAATTGTCAGATATATATTAAAAATGTAACAGCTTTTTAAAAAAAAAAAAAAAAAAAATTAAATCTTACACCCTTACAATGTAACCTGTATTCTTACAGGAGTAAACTGTATTCTTACAGGTGTAAACTGTGTTCTTTCAGGTGTAAATTGTGTTCTTCGATCTCTGCCTTGGAAGAAAGGAGATGGTATTTTAACAACCAATTTCACCTTTCCGGCCAATATCAAGGCTTGTCAAAGATTGACTCAGTATTCGGCTGGTAATAAATACAGAATTGCATATGGTAGAAGTAATGGTGGTGGAATCATAACACAATAGAAACATACCGGTACAAATAATAAAAAAAAATTTTATTTGGGACATTTTTACCAATTCGAGATACGGCTTCCTATTAGGCACGAAGCAGAAGTGGTGAGAAATATGACGTCATATCTCGACAAATTCAGCAATATTCGATTAATTGGTTTTACTAGGTACGTCATCCAATTCCTTCTTTTCAACCTTAGAAAAAATGCCACTGCTTATTAGAGCTATTTTTTAATTTGAATATTTTTCTTCATTTCTACATTAGATCACATAAGTAGTCCAACGGCTCTGGTATTCCCTCTGAAAGAGATGATAGCTGAATGCAGAAAAAGAAATGTTCTCATTTTAGTAGACGGAGCCCATGCTTTAGGACAGATAGCGGTGAATCTTGAGGACCTAAGACCTGACTTCTACATAGGGAACTTCTACAAATGGTTATATTCACCTCGTGGGTGTGCTGTACTGTGGGTGGCAGGGGAACATCAAACATGGTGTACTCCGCTTGCAACATCAGTTATGTACAGGGAAGGCTTTCAGTTAGAGTTCATGATGCAAGGAACGCGTGACAATATACCTTATTACTTAGTACCTGCCGCACTGAAGTTTTACAAGGATATTGGAGGAATGGTATCCATTTTTATCTTTGTTTACATTAGTAAATTGTATTTATATAGCTAAATATAGCTGAGAATGGCTTGTTCTACTTTTTGTATTTACATGGATGGATTTAAACACAAAATTTAGAATACCCATCCATGTAAATAAAAAAATAGAACATGACATTACTTACAGAACAGAATTTCTTCTTTGTATTCTTATAAAAATATGTATTTCTCTAAAATAGCATATCTATTCTTTCAATGGGGAATAGGCATTTACAAAAAACATCTACTCGAGGTACCAAAACATCAAGTGGTGAAAGTGTACTGCAAATGTATTATCCACCATAATCTTACGACCTTGAAAATCTTGAGATATATATATATATATATATATATATATATATATATATATATATATATATATATATATATATATATATATATATATATATATATATATATATATCATATGACATACAGAAGATCTAAGGGTAAGATCTGTGACATGATTTAACATTCAATTGAGACATTTTTTGTGATAAGACCTTCAATCTAGTAAATGACAAACCAGTCAGGCGGTTCAGTCGCATAGATACTGCCCAGACACAGTCCATGACAGACAGACGGACAAACGTCGAAAAACGCAATGATTTGTTCGACAGCAATATCAAAGTCCTACCATGTAGATAGACATAATTCTGATGAATTAATCTTAAAGTTTATTCTTACTAAATGGTATAATTCTTCACTCAGAAACCATGAAATATTGAATATGTATATTTAATATTCACTGTACATACAGTGTAAAGAAACACCATCAATAATTATGATATCTATATGTACCCTTCTATTATGATTTTTCCGCTGATAGGAGAAGATAAACAGATACACGGTGAACCTCCTGGAGAAGGCATGTTTATTATTGGAGGAGATATTGGGTACAACAGGTGTGGGGATCCCGGACTCCATGAAAGCTCCGAGAATTAGACTTGTCCCACTGCCGCAGTATGAAGAATACCAAGCTACAACTGTAAGCATATACATATCAACTTACCAAATACACACCTAAAGACATACTGTCCTTTCTGACGTACATCATTTTATCAAATAAAATCTGCAACATGACTATTTTAAAATAGTCATGTTGCAGATTTTATTTGACAAAATGAAATATGTCAGAAAGGACAATACCATGTATTCAAGTCCAAGTGATTGCAAAATGAAAACGCAATAACTTTGGCAGAATGATTACTTTTAACACCCTTTTAAATATAAAAATAGTTGTTTTGTTTTTTTTTTTTGTTTTTTTTTTTTGCTGTCGTCAGATGTATAGAGATAAGAATGATAAAGCTTATAAATGATTTTTTTTCAGGATGGAGCAAAACAACTAAATCTAGATATAATGGAGAAACATAACGTTATCTGTTTAGTGTGTGCTGTTCAGAATCAGCTATATCTGAGACTATCGGCAAATATCTACAACGAACTGTCAGATTATGAAAGATTGGCAGAGGTTTTATGTGAATTAAGACGACCACGAATCACAAAGAAAGCCATAATGTTATGGAAATCTAACCTGTAGTACCAGTATATTATCTTTATACAATTAGATATATAGAGGACAATGTATTGTAGTTGGATATGGAATTTATTTCACGATCGGGACAGGATGTTTTGACATTTTCACGAGTGCGAAGTACGAGTGAAAAAAAAAAATCCTTACTCAGAGTGAAATAAATTCCGTATTCAACTACTAAAGTATATATATTTATATTTCATAATGTCACTTTAAAGTTGTATCAATAAGCATCTCATTTAAACAAATTTTGGAAGAAAGTTTGTCTCTTTATCATTTTTTTTTTTGTTGCTGTGGAGAGACTATAAATATTGTTCCCTGAATACCATCAAGAAAATTACAGCTGAGGACCAGCAGGGCTATATGAAATACTGTGACTAAATACTATTTGATTCTACACCTGAATCCTTCAAAAATCGCAGAAGTTTGTAATGGTGAATACATGCTGAGTATATCCTATACTTTTTTTTAGCTCACCTGAGCTGAAAGCTCAAGTGAGCTTTTCTGATCACCCGTTGTCCGTCGTCCGTCCGTCTGTCCGTCCCTCTGTAAACTTTTCACATTTTTAACTTCTTCTCAAGAACCACTGGGCCAATTTTAACCAAACTTGGTACAAAGTATCCTTGGGTGAAAGGGAGTGTAAATTGTTAAAATAAAGGGCCAAGTCCTTTTACAAAGAGAGATAATCAAGAAAAGACAAAAATAGGGTGGGGTCATTAAAAAATCTTCTTCTCAAGAACCACTGTGCCAGAAAAGCTGAAACTTATGTGGAAGCATTCTGGGATAGTGTAGATCTAAATTGTTCAAATCATGACCCCCGGGGGTAGGGCGGGGCCACAATAGGGAATCCAAATTTTACATTGAAATATATAAGAAAAATCTTTAAAAATTTTCTTCTCAAGAACCACTGGGCCAGAAAAGCTGAAACTTATATGGAAGCATCCTGGGGTAGTGTAGATTCTAATTTGTTCGAATTATGACCCCCGGGGGTAGGGCGAGGCCACAATAGGGAATCCAAGTTTCACATTGAAATATATAAGAAAAATCTTAAAAAATCTTCTTCTCAAGAACCACTAGGCCAGAAAAGCTGAAACTTATCTGGAAGCATCCTGGGGTAGTGTAGATTCTAATTTGTTCAAATCATGACCCCCGGGGGTAGGGTGGAGCCACAATAGGGAATCCAAGTTTTACCTTGAAATATATAAGAAAATTTTTTACAAATCTTCTCAAGAACCACTGAGCCAGAAAAGCTGAAACTTATATGGAAGCATCCTGGGGTAGTGTAGATTCTATATTGTTCAAATCATGACCCCCGGGGGTAAGGCTGGGCCACAATAGAGAATCCAAGTTTTACATTGAAATATATAAGAAAAATCTTAAAAAATCTTCTTCTCAAGAACCACTAGGCCAGAAAAGCTGAGACTTATAAGGAAGCATCCTGGGGTAGTGTAGATTCTAAATTGTTCAAATCATGACCCCCGGGGGTAGGGTGGAGCCACAATAGGGAATCCAAGTTTTATATTGAAATATATAAGAAAAATCTTTAAAAATCTTCTTCTCAAGAACCACTGGGCCAGAAAATCTGAAACTTATATGGAAGCATCCTGGGGTAGGGGCGGATCCACAATAGGGAATCCAAGTTTTACATTGAAATATATAGGAAAAATCTTTTAAAATCTTCTTCTCAAGAACCACTGGGCCAGAAAAGCTGAAAATTAAGTGGAAGCATCCATTGTTCAAATCATGACTCCCGGGGGTAGGGCGGGACACAATAGGGAATCCAAGTTTTACATTGAAATATAAAAGAAAAATCTTTAAAAATCTTCTTCTCAAGAAGCACTGGACCAATAAAGCTGAAACTTATTTGGAAGCATCCTGAGGTAGTGTAGATTCTAAATTGTTAAAAGGGGGAAATCTGGTAAAGAACAGCATGGCCAAAGTTACTCAGGTGAGCGATGTGGCCCATGGGCCTCTTGTCTTATTTCTAGTAAAATGACAAAGAGCCGCTTATACATAAATAATCTTGTCCTCTAAATTCTATTTTTATCCTCATACTAGCTCTTGTACTTCCTCGTTACTTTTATCCCTATCTCTAGATTACACTTCATACATGTCATTTTTACTATTGTACGTCACAAAAACTATCATCAAACATTTTTTTTATCACCATCTCACACACGTTGAAAAAAAAAGATGTAAGTTCATATTAAAAATATATGATTTCGTCTTTCCTCCAGGATTTTTTTTCCATTACTTTATAATATTTTTGCATGTATTTCTTTTTTTCTCTTTCATTTTCTGCGTATAGGTATTTCATGTATTTTTACCTCAGACCTGAATGTTTGCACTGTATATATTCTACATTGTCATCATGTACCATATATGAGTGAATAAATAAACTTGAACTTGGTCTTTTAGATATATTACCACGCCGTCGAAAGTAATGAAAACTAATCAAAGGAATAATGATATCGTTTAAAGGTCACACAAGATGTCACAAAGGTCAAACAAACCTATTTTTGTATTCATATGAAGCAGAATTTATTCAAAAACTTGTACACGAGAAGAAAACACTTGCTGTGACCCTAAATTCGACATTTGAATACATGTATATCGAGACATATTATCCATTGCCCGTGTGGCGCAGTGGTCAGAGCGTTCGCTCTAGAGTCGCGGAGTAAGGAGTCGATCCTTACGTCGCAGGTTCGAATCCCACTGTGGGACGTGGAGACCGGTCCTTCGGATGAGACCGTATAAACCGAGGTCCCGTGTCGCAGTATGTGCTGGCACGTAAAAGATCCCTCACTGCTCAATGGCCCTAAGTGCCGAGTATAGGTCAAAATTTGTAGTCTCCACCGGCAAGTGGTGGCGTCTCCATATGAGTGAAAAATTCTCGAGAGGGACGTTAAACAATAAACAAACAAACAAACAAACAAAACAATAGTTACTTCCATTCATATGTCGAGTCGATATATCCCACGTGAACTTGAAATAAAAGATACCACAGAGTCTGACACATCTGCTTCACATTTGGATATTTTACTAGAAAAAGACGATAATGGTAATCTAAAAACAAAACTTTTCGATAAACACGATGACTTAAACTTTTCTATCGTCAACTTCCCTTACTTAAGTAGCAATATACCCTTATCGCCTGCATATGGGGTTTATGCCTCCCAGTTGATTCGATATGCAAGAGCATGCTCTACGTACGAACAACTTCTAAAACGAGGCAGGCTTTTGACAAACAAATTGATGAAACAATAATATCAACAGTCTCGTTAAAAATCATCATTTCACAAGTTCTATGGTCAATGACCTTGTCAGCAAATACAGTCTATCATTTAGTCGAACGCTGTTTTTTCATTGTTAGGCCATTACTTACACATTGAATTGTCTACAGATTGTTTTCCCGTTTTCACGATCATGACGAAGAGCACACGGCGGGCATGACTTGTCGACAGGGGGTGCTTACTCCTCCATGGCACCTGATTCCACCTCTGATGCTTTTAGAGGTCCTTTTTTGCTCTGCTCCTGATTTGTATCTCTTCTATGGACTTTTGAGCTTAATTACTGCATGAACGTTATCTGTCAGTTACATCATTTACCGTTATTAATTACCGTAGGTGAATAGCAAAGAAGAACAAATTTTCACAGTAGACTATAAATTAATAGAGGCCCAACCAGCACTAGAACACTTGACTAAGTGGTCCAGGGCGGGGCTCTATTGATCATACATGTATGTATAGTGAAATTGCATTTACTCTTTGAAAATCTTTTTCTCTGCTCCTGGGTATTAAGAAGATAAACTAAGTGCATGGTTGTGATGATCAAGGATGTTTCTTCCAAAATTTTGAGATTTGTGGCCCCAGGGTCAGGGGTTCATGTTGGAGAGGTGGACCCGTTCTATTGAATATATAGTTGAAATGCATTTTTTTTTTTGAAAATCTTCTCTGCCCCTAGGTATTTAACAGAAAAACTAATTCCTTTGTTATGATGAGCAAGGATGTCTTTTCAAAAAGTTTGAAATTCATAAACCCGGGGTCAGGGGTTTTGGTGTTAGGGTGAGGCTCTTTTGAATATATAGTAGAAAAGCATTATTTCTTTGAAAATCTTTTTCTCTACCAATAATTATTAAGGAAACATAAGAAATGAATGGTTTTGATGAGCAAGCTAGAGTGCCTCTTCTAAAATTGTGAATATCTTGGCCCCTGTGTCAGGGGCTCTGGTATTAGGGTGGGGCTAAATTGAAGTGAAAATGGAATATTTTTTCTTCTCTGCTTCTGGGCATCTAGGAAGCAAACAGAGTTTATGAAGTTGTAATGAACAAGGGTGTTTTACCAGATTTTGAAATTCTGTATAGCCTACCCTTTGGTCAATTTATTAATTTCTACTGAAATAAGTTATTCCCCTTTGCTATTTCCCTATGATAGTTAATCACTGTAAACAGTGACGTATAATAGACTATTATACATCTCTGCTGTAAATAATGTACATAGGCTATCTTAAAATGTCAAATGAATAGCAGAATTATTCAAGAATTTTTATAATATTTAATACAAAAAGTACTTTCATAGTTTTTAATGATTACTGGTAGACTTTTAAATAAATGAGATAACAATACTTTATCTTTGTACAATAATAATCTTCAAAAACTAAGAGAGGTCAATGGGAATGAAATGTGTTAACTAATAGTGCTCTAGAAGTGTTGTTTTGTTTAGTCCGCATGAGGATAGTGACAATTGGGGGGGGGGGGGGGCAGGCAAATAAATAGATCAACTTCAAGATTTGTTACTGAGTACTTAATTAACATTTTGCTGATCCTTGATCATCCTATTTTTCTTGCTTTTGGCTTCATTTTATCAGCTTGTTTTGTTTCAATTTATGGATCGTTACATTATACTCAGGTGACCGTTTCAAGAGGCTCTTGGGCCTCCTATGTTTGTAAACCCTCATCCTGGTTCATGTATATTAAAAAAAATGCATCTAAGATTTTGTTCTGCAAAAACTTTTTTTTTTTTAATACATTTTTACATTTTTTTGGAAATCAAACTGAGACAAAGAAAAAATAGATCGTCTAAAACTAGAAGGGGACTGGAAAGAATGTAGAACGAAATACATAGATACCGGATTAACTTTAATCACATGATCGCAAGATGGAGGATTTCCCTGGTCGGGATGAAAAATTACTCGTGATTTAAAGTAAACAAAAAGTAGATTGAAATAAAACTTCCGTGGACATTTTCACTGTTTTTACTAAGATAAAATCCGTTAATGTTATAATAGGTAGCTATGTAGCAGAGGGAAGAATGTAATAAGCGGGAAACTTTAGCAGGAATATTCCTCAGCTTTTAATTAAGTTTTCGAAAACGGAAGTTTGAAAGAAAGACAAAAAATGGATGACCCGTTGGGAGCTCGTTCAGACTGTGTAGAGCTTGATGAGTTGACGAGATGGAACTTAACTCAGCTTCCAATGACCTCAGAGGAGGATAAAGAGGCGGAAATCTCGCCGTTTCCATGGAATAATAATTTAAACGCCAAAATTATTTTGTGGTACGATTGTCTTTCATTGTCCAGGTTAACAATTAGCTGACTGTACTGATGTACTGGCGTTGGTTCCAGTACAATTAAAAAAAAATTATGACTGAGTTAAACAATTGGGAAGAAATTTGTTCATTAATTGAGCACATTTGGTTCCTATCATCCATTTTTCACAAAATCATGCTGAAAATCATATTTTTTAGTTTAAAAAGATAGAAATTGTAATAATATTAGAGTTTATTTGTCATAAGTGTATATTTTTAGGTGTGGTGATATTACTCGTCTTGTGGTACATGGCATTGTTAACCTGACCAATGAAAGACTGGATGCCAAGCTCCCAGAAACAGAAACTATTTATCGGAAAGGCGGACCTGACTTAGTGGCCGAAATTAGGAACAATGTTAGAAGTAAGTAATAAGATTAAGTGAAATGACTGGTTTTCAAACTGAACATGAATACGTAGATAGAACGTTATGTCGTTAAAATGATATTGTCCTATGGACCTGGTTTAACAATTGAATTTTTTTGTATGTTGTCAATGTAGGAAAATAAACAAGGACAGATGATTCTAATGTGCACATTTACTTCAAATAATCCAGAGAGTTCTGAATGTCAATATGGTGTGACAAAATTTGAAGCACAGGGATAGACATTAACTTTCAGATTCAAAATGAACTCAAACTTTGACTTGTCCGAATGCAAAAATTGGGTGCCCAAAATTAAGAAAGAAGAAAATAGTTTTATTTTTACAAATGTCATGATAGAAAATGTGTGACCAGATACACTACTGTCTATTTGGCAAATTGAGGTGCCAAAAAAGAATGTCAATGCTATGTTGTAGTACATAAATCTAATGTATTATGATGCCACTATCCTAGTCAATTTAACCTGTAAACACACTGTCATGCAGCAATCCCCCCCCCCCCCCCCATTTCCTGTAGAATAAAATTCTGATTTTTCAAAAAAATATTTTGTGATCAGTATGATTCTTTTGTTCTTTTGATTTTTTTAGAGATGACTGTGAAGCAATGCTTAAGGAAGACAGTTGATTCTAAACATACATATCTTGATCAGGATATGTTATTGAATAAATAATTCAATTTCCTAATAAGTAGGTAACAAAGTTTTTAGACCTAGAGCGTACCGGTAATTACCTTGAAAGAAACTAAAATATTGGCATTGGAATTATTCTTTCCTTGACTCAAAACTTAACAGCTAAATCAGTTAATGGACATGATGGAAGTAAATATATCATAAATTTTAAAAGAGAGATTACATGTATGTGACATGTTTCAAGAATTATAAAGGAATTAGATAAACCATTTAAACATGATATAGCAACCATGCATAAGCATTTACATTTCATTGATTATCCTCAGTACTTCAGCCCACATTACGACATGGTCCAGCTGACCAGACCTTCTTAAGACTGAGAATAAAATGACCCTATTGTTTTGTTTGTTTGTATGTTGTTTAATGTCCCTTACGAGAATTTTTCACTCATATGGAGACACCACCACTTGCTGGTGGAGAGCTGCAAATTTTTGTCCTATACTCGGCACATAAGGACATTGAGCATTGAGGCATCTTTTTCGTGCCAGCACCTACACGGGACCTCGGTTTATACGGTCTCATCCGAAGGACTGGTCTCCATGTCCCACAGTGGGATTCGAACACGTGACGTAAAATGAATATGATTGAATCTGATTTTTCTCTTTCATTTTTTGTTGTTGAATTGTACTCTTTACCAATAATTAAAATGTATCATGTGATTAGTTTAATGATAATCAGATAATTGTACAGTTTTCATTGGCAGTGGATAAGGATTTGGTATGATACTACCTTTTACAAACAGCCATTTGCTTTTGTTTTGATGAGAGTTGTGTGTTGTAAGAAACATGCCTCTTAGAAATGTGCTCCTTTGCAAGGGGATGCTCCGCTTTGCAATGTCTTTGACTGTTTATTATACAAGTAAATAATATTGCTAGGTCTAAGTGGAAAATTGATATTTGGTTGTAAAGGATAGTAGTTTATCTGATCTTTTTATTTTAGTATGCAAGACAGGTGAGGCCAAAACCACCAAAGGACACAAACTGCCCGCCCGATTCGTGATCCACACAGTGGGGCCCAGGTATAACATCAAATACATCACCGCAGCAGAGAGTGCTCTGTTTAGCTGCTACAGGAGTGTTCTCAGACAGGTCAGGTAAGGCATAAAGGATAATGTAAACATTAAGTACATGAGTGAAGCTGTGTTAAGCATATTGTAAACATTAACAAGCATTCTGAGAGTATTGCATTAGCAATACTAGTCCCCTACCGGCAAGTGTAATCTGGTTCCCGTTAAAAATTGAAAATGCCATAATCCCGTCAAAAATCAATGAAGCGGGATGAAATGCAAACTTGATCTATAACTAATCAAGGTAAAGTAACATACCAAAAATCAGCTCAATATCTGAAAGCGTTTAGTAGAAAATTGCGGAAAACCCCAAGAAATTGAAAAGGCCGTAATTCTGTCAAGAATCAGTGAAGCGGAACGAAATGCAAACTTGATCTGTAACTCATCAAGATACACTTACATACCAAAAATCAGCCCAATATCTGCAAGCGTTTAGAAGAAAAGTGCGGAAAACCAAGTGGGACAGACTGACAGACAGACAGAGGGACAGACGGACAGACAGACAGACAGACAGACGGACGGACAGACTCAGAGGAAACCTATATTCCCCTCCGGTTTCACCGGTAGGGGACTAATAACTTGAGTGAGGTTGTGTTAAGTATGGTAAACATTAATTAAATGAGTGAGGTCATGTTAAGCATATTGTAAACATAATTACATGAACATTAATTATACTAGTAAGGCTGTGCTATGAAAACATTTTTTACATGAGTGAGGTTCTGTTAAGTATATTTTAAGCATTAAGTAGTTCAGTGAGGTCATGTTACAAAAACATTACTTATACACGATACTAATGAGGATGTGTTAAGAAAATATTTCCTACCTGAGTGAGGTTCTGTTAAGTTTATTGTAAACATGAATTACTTGAGTGAGGTTCTGTTAAGTATATTGTAAACATAAATTACTTGAGTGAGGTTCTGTTAAGTATATTGTAAACATAAATTACTTGAGTGAGGTTCTGTTAAGTACATTGTAAACATAAATTACTTGAGTGAGGTTCTGTTAAGTTTATTGTAAACGTGAACTACTTGAGTGAGGTTCTGTTAAGTACATAGCTTTCCAGCTCTCTTTACTGGTTGTACACTGTACCAATTAGCTTTGTACCAAAAGCCTGTCTCATGCAGCTACAAAATCTGCTACTATATTTTTGGTTAGATTCATTTCATTTTTAAACAATTAAGAATTAAAGCTAATGGACATTTTTGTTTTACATTGAAGGGAGCACCAGATGAAATCTGTGGCTATACCTTGTCTTCATTCTATAAGACGAGGCTACCCCACTGAAGATGGCGCCCACATTGCTATTAGTAAGTCACATTCAGTATATGCAAGAAAAAATACTCTTCTGTATGAAATTTCTCTTGTATTTAAATATGTATTGATAAAATAACCATAAATAATTTTGAATGTTAATTTGTTTTATTAACAGGAACAATACGTAGATTCCTTGAGAAATATGGAGAGGACATTGACACAGTGATATTTGTTTGCAATGAAGACACACTTGTATATAACAACAATTTATTTTAGCTTTCAATTTAACAAAAATAGTTTTGTCATGCACTTGAACATTCATCCTAATGTTATTAATTGTAATTTTAAAGCTTTCCAACAGGAAATTAAAATATGTTTGATACTTAATGATTATAAATTGAAGAGTGCCAACTTGAGAGCATTCATAATAATCATACAAGATTTTTTTCTCCCCCACTTATTTTAACACAATTTTATTTAATTGACATGTACAGGATACATACATGAAGGTCCTGCCCCTGTATTTCCCCCGCAGCTGTAAAGAGGAAGTGGAGGCCATCAAATTTCTCCCTGAGGACATTGGTAATGAAGACGGAGAACCAATCATCCCGGAGAGACAAATCAGGATCATGGACAAACCTATGCTGGCCTCCATCAGTGAGTTACCTTTAGTAATTATCCCAGAGAGAGAGAGAGAGAAGGGGGGGGGGGCTTTATGGGCTTCCATAGCAAAACAGGATAAAGGACTGTTTCATGTATTTCATAATTTTTATTTTTGATTACTGCTGTGTTGCATTATAAAATTTTATCAAACACTTTTCTTTTTTTTTTGGGGGGGGGGGGGGGGGTTATGTAGAAAATTAGGTTTATAGTTTTCATCACTGCTAATATACTGTAAAAACCACTTTTGTACAGTTCCTAGACAAAATCTATTCAGGAATTTAATATTCTTGAAGAAATTTTTATATAAAATAAAATTTTTCCCTTACAAATATTTTTGTTTCAACATTACTATCATAATGAAACTTGTTTTACAATGAACCATAGAAGTTCAGCACTCTGATAATTTAAATGCACACGATAACAATTCATACAAACACTGAGCACTAAAAGATGTGGAATTGTAAAGCTGATGTGTACCAATATCCTGTTCTTTTCTTTTTGATAATTTTGATTTAGTGTTCAAGTTTTCTCTTTGAAGGGAATAGTCAGGGTTTGGAGGAATTAGAAGAGACAGTTGATTTAAACAAGGAGTTTGGAACCTCAACAGTCGTGGAGGTTGGTCGACACCCATTTGCTCAGATGCAGAGTGATCCTGATGAAGTGAAAATGTCACATTTGTCTGGACATTCTACAGCAGAACAGAGACGTCTAGAAAACAAACGAAGGTTAGTATAAACTCTCATGTCTGGACATTCCACAGTAGAATTGAGACATCTATAAATCAAGAGAAGGTGAGTATAAACTCTCATGTCTGGACATTCCACAGTAGAATAGAGATGTCTATAAAACAAGAGAAGGTGAGTATAAACTCTCATGTCTGTACATTCCACATTAGAATAGAGACATCTATAAAACAAGAGAAGGTTAGTATAAACTCTCATGTCTGGACATTCCACAGTAGAATAGAGACGTCTATAAAACAAGAGAAGGTGTGTATAAACTCTCATGTCTGGACATTCCACATTAGAATAGAGACATCTATAAAACAAGAGAAGGTTAGTATAAACTCTCATGTCTGGACATTCCACAGTAGAATAGAGATGTCTATAAAACAAGAGAAGGTGAGTATAAACTCTCATGTCTGGACATTCCACATTAGAATAGAGACATCTAGATAACAAGAGATTAGTGAAAAAAATGATAAACTCGTATGTCTGTATGTAATTCAGTAGAATAGAAATGGAAAAAGTGAGAGTCTGTAAATTTTTTGTACAGTAAATTGTCAGATGTCTGGTTATACTACAACCCAACAGAGACTAATTGCAAAGCAAGCAAAGACTTGCTTGACTTTACACAATAGAGAAGATATAAGATTGGGGAGAGGTTTGTCTAACAGTCTGATGTAAAGAATAAAATATGTCTAAAAATGCAAAAGAAACTTTCATCCAAGACTAAAGCAATTTGAAATAATCAAAACTATTTATTCATTTGTTACACGTACACATTTGTTAATTTGTACATGTATGTTTCTGATGATTCTGCTTATACACTCTATAGGTATGAAAGACTGCTGAAAAGATCTAAGGTGGAGGATCTGACAGATATAGCAGCCCTGAAGTGTATCTATAGGTCAGGGGTGGACCGATTTGGGCGACCAGTTGTCATTCTAGTGGGAAAACATTTTCCAGCCAACTCAATAAATATGGAGAGGGTATGATAAAGAAAAGATGTGTTTTATGTACTTAAGATTGTCAGAATCAAAAATAATTTTAAAAAATAGAAAGAACGGATATTTAAAAATTCCATTACATTAGCTCTATCATTAAGTGTTTAACCTTAAAATCATAATTTAACTCAATTTTAATGCTTGGGTTACACTGCAAGGTAAGGTACTTATTGTTTAAAGTTTGATCATCCCTTTATGAGTAATAATGATAATTTCAGATATTAATTATGTAACTGTATATTGTCTGCTAGGGCTTATGGGAATGATTTTTGTGTTTTTTTCTTATTTAGGCTGTACTATACTTGATTCGTGTCATGGAGCCTATCGTGGAGTCAGACTACGTCGTCGTATATTTCCACACTCAGACAACAGCTGTCAATCATCCAGACATGTCGTTCCTAAAACAGATATATTCTATCCTGGACAACAAGTAAGGGGGCATACATTACATGTATTAACTCTATCCTAGACAACAAGTAAGGGGGCATACATTACATGTATTAACTCTATCCTAGACAACAAGTAAGGGGACATACATTACATGTATTTACTGTATCCTAGACAACAAGTAAGGGGGCATACATTACATGTATTTACTGTATCGTAGACAACAAGTAAGGGGACATACATTACATGTATTTACTGTGTCCTAGACAACAAGTAAGGGGACATACATTACATGTATTTACTGTATCCTAGACAAGAAGTAAGGGGACATACATTAAATGTATTTACTGTGTCCTAGACAACAAGTAAGGGGACATACATTACATGTATTTACTGTATCCTAGACAAGAAGTAAGGGGACATACATTACATGTATTTACTGTGTCCTAGACAACAAGTAAGGGGCATACATTACATATATTTATTTCAGAGGAACAATTAAAAAAATCTTGAAGTACATGAAACCACTGAAGTGTCAGATAACAAAGATATATAATTGTCACTATTTCATGGATGTTTGCCATAAGCCAAGCAATGTTTGAATTTTAAGCCAAAACACATTCACTCTGAGGTTAGAAAAAAATGCAAAGAGGAACAATGCTGGTATGTAATGTGTTCTGTGTAAAGTTTGGATATTTAAAATTAGCAATATCATTTTTGAAAAAACCTTACTCACAGAATTTATCTAAACATTGAGAGTTTCAGAATGATTTAGATTATTTTTTTTTCCATTGTAGATACAGGAAAAATATGAAATCTTTTTACATCATTCATCCCACTTGGTGGTCAAAGGTGAGTAGTGTTTGAATAAAAAAAATGAAATGTACATGTGTATATACAATAAATAAGGTTAGCAGTATTTGAAAAAGATTTATAAAATAAAATATGTATAGTACATCTATATCTAACATGGTAATTTGTGCATATTTTAACATGATGATTTATGTTCAGTTTATACTTGATGCAGAGAGTACATGTACAGTATGTTGAAAATTTGTTTTCTTAAAAAAGATTTTCATTAATTTTTTTATCAACAATTGAAAATTCAATTTTGATGTGCTTAACATGAGCTTTTTGTTTATAAATCAGAGCTTATGAGTCTATAATATAGAAAGCTTCAAATCACATGTTTGACAGCCCTCTCATGAAAGCTAAGACTTGCTGAATAATCATGCCCTGTCACTTGAAAGTCATTTTAATTGCTTATGTTAATTAAATTAACTCAGTAAATGGTATTCTGTCCATATTTATGATTTGAGCTGCACTGTAGAGTTGTAAACAATCTCAAATCACAAATCTGTTTATCATGAACTTTTTTTGCAAAAGATAAGTATCCGCAAGTTTCATTCAATATATGATAAGGCAATTCTGGTAGAAACAATTTATACCCCCTCCCCTTTTCACCCACACAAATACACATAAAAAATGAACTGACCTATTTTAGGAAACTGCCAAAAGAATAAAAAATTGTCAGCCCTGGGTCAATAGATAAAATATAAGGGGAACTATTTTTTAGTAAAAAGTTCCTAAGTATGATTTAAAAACAAATTCAAGTAGAGAAAAGTATTCTTTTACATGCATATCTTACATGAAGTTTGTGAATTAAGTGATGGCACAATGACCTATTTGGTTTTAGAATAACACACCCACATTGAATTTCTCCTAGCTCTTATTAAAAATTATTAATTTAAAAAAAAAAAGAATAAATTTTGACATTTATATTAAAAAATTGATTTGCTTTTGACAGCTGGCAACTTGGTTTTTTACGACGTTCACTGCATCAGATATTAAGAATAAGGTGATCAGTATGAGAGGAATACAGTATTTGTACGGCACAATCTTCCCAGACCAGCTGGACATCCCGCCGTTTGTCATCAACTATGACATTGAGGTCAGTGTTTTCTTATTAATCAGTGTGCTTTTTTCATGTACCATATAGCGGGTTTTTTTTGGCAGGTGTAAAAATTGGTGTTTTGCTTGGCTAAAGGTATACCAATAATTTTGGCGTAATTTATTTTTGCGGACACAGGATTCCAACTCTTTGCAAAATAGCACTTAGTAGAACACTGAATATTTTAGTGATTAAAAGGACAAGATAGGCTAAGACCCCTTTTTGGCCCCTGGTTTGGAATGTCTTTTAGAATGATGCAAAAGTTTATCAATTAAAACCTGTTGTCTTCCCTCCCACAAAATGAGTATTTGTTTAAAGTTATGGGGTACACAGAGGTCATAGGAAGGTCAGAAAATATGTCAATTTTGGAATTTTCTCATTTTTATATAAATTTTAATCGATTTTACAGCACATTTTGTTTCAGCAAACATAGAGCACAAGCTTGCCTAGCTACCAAATTTATATATTTCATACACTAGTATCAGATGCATCTTGTGTATAAAAATCTCAGATAGGCAAGCTTGTGTTCTATGTTTCCTGAAGTGAAAAGTATCTCAAATTTAACGAAATTCCTCCAGAATTGAGGAAATTTGGGAAAATGTCCTACTTCTGCACCTTCTTGTGCCCTCCGTTTAAGCTTTGAATAGAAATTATTGCTGGTTTTAAAACAAGCATCATTTTAAGTTCTTAACTACAAACTATCGCAATTTTAACTGTGTTCTGATTTTTTCTTTAAACAAGGGGCCAGATTCGGCCCTTACCTTACCTTGTTCTTTAGCGAACTACATGTACTACCAAAATAAGCCAAAATTAGCACCCCGCTAAAATAACCTGCTATACGGTATATCCCTTACAATAAAGTTTTTGGGCAGTGGTAGGAGTATAGAAATCACCTTGTCTGTCTGTCTCTCTGTTGTGTATGGGCCATAAATCTGTTATAGAGAAATAGAAGATTATTCTTTACACAAAGGATACAAGATTTAGTCATTTTGTTAAGCAAGGTCAATCCAACTACTTCAAGGCCACTTAAAGAAAATGCAGGTTGGAGACAGGCATTGTGCATGTATTTTCCTATGCTATTTAGCCTGAGAATATAAACTTAAACACAAGCTATACATGTATCATATTCTGAACAAGCTCATAGAATTAGAATATTTAGTAATCTATGTTTTATGCAATAAATTTTACCAAAAGCATTTATAGGTATTTTAAAATCCTACCTTCCTGATTGAGAAAGTTAGTGTGTAATGTGAAATAGAAGTGTTTTATAAATTGTTTTTAGTAGGCTAAATTTCATATGGTTTTAATTTGCAGATATCCAAATCTGCAGAGTGCAAGATTATTCAGGTGGATAATGTCTAATCATATAAATGACAGGATTTAACGTAGAACCTACGTCGTATGACGTCATATCGAGTAAATGAGTTATTAAGTTTGTCTTTTTGGTGCTAGATCCATTATGACGTCATAATCATGTTAATTTAATATTACTTTTTCCCATACTTTACGGCTTTAATCCAAGACTGCCTCATGTAATGAAGTTGCACAACTGTGATAATTTGAATGGCATGCAACTATTTTGAAGGAATGCAAAAATACTAAGAAATCTAAATAGTACAACATCTTGATGAAATGAGTCTGAGTTAAAGATCTGTTAAAGATTGTGTGTAAATTTTGTAATGTCTATCATGAAAAATACGTGCATTCCTTTTCATAATTATTTGTTAATTATTCATAATGGTTGATGTATAATAATAATAATGTTTCCCTTAAATATTATCTTTTTCAATAAAAAAAATTACATTTTTTGATAAATATTCACATTGTAAATCTGAACGTAACCCCCAAACAGTCATTTAATAATTAAATCATGTGTACCGGTAAGTGCAAAAAGGTCAACAAAAGAAGTATTGATAAATAAAGTGTCTCTCATTAGTATGAGGGGAAAGGTGTATATTTTAATCACTTTTTCTAATTATTTGGGTATGTTCTTCATCATATTATAGATTGAAAACATTCTGACAAAGACTTTTGAAAAATGTTTACAAATTTACGTTGTAAATTGACACAAAAAATAATGAGCACATTTCCCTATATTCGTTGAAATGTGGACTTAATCTTGTATGTCAATTGAATAAAAAAGAATTTATTCTAGAATAATATTGCTCAATACGGTTCAGTTAATAAAGTCTATAAATGACGACGTTTGAAGAAGTATTTTTGTGATTTTCTTTATTCTCTTTATGACCAGTACCCCTAAAAATGGCTGAAAATATGTAGTCGCAGTGTAAAATTATCATTCCAAGTTGCACAGGCTGCACTACATTTAATAACAAGGAAACATACCAAATATTTTTTACTGATTGATAAGCGAGTGTTAATTTATCATTTTGAAAAGTTTGAAAATCTTGTGACAAAGACTTTTCCGACATAGGTTCTACCTTAATTACAGTTTTTGTTGAAAGTGAAGAACTGCTAATATGTTTTCAATGTACCAAAATCTTTCACTCATCAGATGTAAAATATACATTTCAGGTGAATGGTCCACGGTATTATGAACCACCCAGTACTGACGAGGTAGAGGCTTTATGATGAGGAAGATCATTAGTTGTAACCTCATAGAGTAAATCCCATTACAAGATGTAAGGAGGTCACAAGACTTGTATACCACAAATTTCTAGACATTGACTTGCTTTTGATCTCTCCTTTGTTCTACAATTCTTAAGACTTTGCCTTGGCAACTGATAAATACTCAGGACAGTTTGTTATTGAATTTGGTTAAATATTCAGTTATTCCATGTTTTGTTGAATGAGGTTCATAAAAATATGATTTGTAATTTAATTAATTTCTTTTGCAAAGTAATTGTAATTTAATTTTTTACATGTCTTAAAATTCTGTTATGTAATTGTAATTGAAGATGAAGCATATATTCTCGCCTGTAAGTTGGTTCACTTATAAGTTGGTTGTATTTTTTTAAAGATTATTTTGGAGGAATTTGCCATTGACCTGTTTATAAGTCTGAACGTTTTTTCCCCCAAATCCTTTGGTAATTTCAGTTAAATATTCTTTTGTATTTACCTGTTTTTCAAAGTATATTCAGGGATGTGACCTCAATATTTGATCTTTTTTGAACAATTGAAACAAATGTAATATCAATCAAATCTTTAAGCACTTGTGTTTTACGCATATAGTAATTCTTAGTTTTGGACCAAAATTTAACTTCCAAAAATCTGATTTATGGGCGAGTATGTATGATGCCTTTGTATGTAATTTATAATAATTAATACTTGTTACTTGTTTTAAATATGACTAATAATTAATATCAAATATTTATTTTTTTGGATGTCACAGTTTTTAAAATTAAATACTTTTTTCCAGTGAGAATGTTTTATTGAGAGAGAGAGAGAGCGAGAGAAAGAGAGCAGACTTTCAGTATCTTGTTTAAAATGATATAATAACAAACACATACAATGTAGTTTAGTGTAGATTTTCACATAAGAAAATATACTTATGGCTTATGAGTTTGTTCACGTTATTTTTTGACTGATGTCCTAAAAAATCCCATAAAAGTAGTATTTTGTATGTATCTATGTTTGGCGTTTAGTGCTCAAAGAATGATATCAATAAGGAGCAATAATTTTTTTTCTGATTTTTGATATGGATTTTTGAATTTTTTTTTCTCTAATTTGAGCTTCAATATGCAGAGTAAAGTGTTGATTTGATTTTTTGATTAATGCTCAAAGAAAGACATCAATGGGGAGGAAATTTTCTTTTGTATATATAAAAGTAAGGGATGATTTTTACCAATTATATTTTACCTTTAAGTTACTTCTTTTTGTTATTAAGTGAATATGTGCTAGAAAATAGTTTATCTACAATGTAGACAAGTACTCTGTTCATATATATGATAAAAATGATAGTCCCATGTCTTCTGATTAAGAACTTGTTCTTTATATTTCATCTTTAATATTCGTCTAAGGGAGTTTGAATATACGTGTATTAGAATTATATAAAATTGAACATACCTGTTGGAGATGATTTGAAAATAGTTTAGAAGTGTCTTCATTGCTTTTAGGTTCATCTCGTTTGTCCGTAAATGGAAGATAGTTCTGTGGCTGATTCTTATTTCATCATTTAATTTTTTACCAAAGAAACATCAACATTATTGTATCCAATAATGTCCATTGGAGGGAGATTCATACTTAAATACTTGATATTCATTATATCATATAATTCAAACATGTTGATTATTATTTCCCTCTATAATTTATTTCATAGCCTTAAGGAGTTATATGTTTTGGATCACGTGAGCAACTTCATGTCTTACCCCCAATGAAACTCTAAAAATGATATTTCTTAATTATGTGCACGTATTGGCCTTTAATTGACTTTTATCCATCTGTGTAAAAAGATTCAAATTCCATCAAGGTTGTGATTGGCTCTTTCTAAAGCTTTTATTCAATGATCCTTTATAATGTAAAAAAAAAACTTTGTAGAAGATACTTCTTGCAAGTATTGTACATACATGAATAGGCAATATTTAATACGCTCATCCACATCTGCATAGTAATTTATTTCTTGCCTTGTTTACAACGTCAATAATTACAGTGTGTCTTTTATCTGACTGTGGAAAAGAAAGTACATTTTAATTGACAAAAGGGAATATGCTGTATGTAAAGCTGTAATAAAATACTACATATATACAACATCTGTCTATTGACTTTGGTCAACAAAGCATATGTAATCACTGTGTAGAATTTTTTTTTTTATCAATGCACGATCTTATACATTGGATATCCTTTGAGAATCTATGTCTCCACGAGCTCTGACTTACCATTTACAATTTTATCTTAAAACTTGTCATAAATGTCGAAATTCACACATATAGAGTTCACTTGTGCATTTCATTTGGAATTTTATATTTTAATTACTTACGCATGTATTCAAATTACACGAGAAACGAAATTTATGTACATTTTATTGTATAGTATCCATCTTCCTCCTGGTTGCACTGCCTTGATGGATTTAAGATGAAATGTTTTGTGCCGCTGACGTTAAAAGACAAAGGATCAAAATGTTTCTTGTTAAATATTGTTTACTTTAGAAAGCTATTTCCAAGAGTGTCCAAATAAATTCCAAAGCAATTAAAACTACTGGTTACATTTACAAGTTGTTTTGATCACCACGACGCAAATCGCAGATCAATACCTATCCTTTTCCTCGGTCTGTTTCTTGAATGACTTTCGTGTGAGTTGTTTGTCAGTTTCTGTGCCAGGTTTTGATGTAGACTTCTTGAGAATGTTTTGTTTTCAAATTCCATGCAAGAACCACAAGAACGTTTTCCTAATACGTCACAGTAATGGCGTATTTCTTTCGCCATGTCAGATGACTTTGAACACTCAGGACTTCTCTTATTGCGGTAAAGATACTGTTTTGTAAACATTTTAGAGACGTACAGTTTCCTACACTCTGCACAGTTAAAATGATTGTTGTACACGCTTGGTATGAACACCTCGTCTCTCTCAAACTTTGTTATACTGGCTTGTTTGTCCTTCAGAATGTATCTCTTTTCCCTTAACTTATCAGTGTCCATTGTTTTGAAGTGATTTTCTCTCCGACTGGTCAGGGGAGGCAGGACGACGGAATTCTCTTTTCGAGACACATGTCTGTAGATCTCGAAATGCTTGTAGATATCATTTAAGTCTGGATCACGCGATACGTCTTTGTTACACTCACGATGCGACAAAGATCCAGATATATTAAAGACTCCTGGGTGGGTCATCTTTAATTCATTGTATCTACTAGACAAAAATCATGAAATTTTATTCCCAAAGTTATCCGTCAAGGTTTTGTAAGTTAACGTTTTCGCCATTCCAATAATGGTTTTCCAGCTATTCACCGCGTAAGTTTTGCATTTTGGGCGCTGTGAATGAAATCTCATACACACAGTTCCGATGATGACTTGGTTGTATATCCAAATAAGTGGTTTACAAACTTTTTATCACTTAAAACACGTTTATCTAAAAATGAGATAAGAAAGGAGACTATTGAAAACAAGCTTAATTAAAGTCAGGAAAGGTCGATATTTGCGAACAATGTCACAGCAAGGATACATACAGTAAATCACTGCATTAAGAGTTATTTATTTATAACCAATATTCAATGTAGTCCACGACACTGTAAAAGATGAATTGAGAATGTTAATCCAACAATATATCTATTGTCAGCGTCTTTAAACTTTTATGATTACAGCAGTCCGTGGGAGCATGTTCAACATCATAGAAAAAAAAAATGCTTCGGTATCATTCACATATATACATGCTAGGTTAAAGGACGTGCTGATTAAAAGACCATGTTAAACTGAAAGGTAATTTGCCATTTGCAAGAATGAAATAGGTTTGTACACGTTAAGTCATTTAAGTTCATTCATCATTCATTATCAGTAAATCTGAAGAACTCTTGTATATAAATTCTTTCCGACATGTTTACACCTACGAACATAATTTATAGAAGCCTCTCGAACTGAAGTGCTCCGATTCGATACAAACTCATAAAAATAATTTAAAATTAGAATAAGATTTTTTTTTTAAAGAAAACTTCCAGTGAAAGTGTACCCTGGCCCCCAGATCAAGAAACATGAATTACAACAAGTGCTAAATGCAGACAGTTAATCAATCTGTATATGTTTAAATTTTATAAATCGTTACTTGATTAACAGTAGATAATAAGCGAGTTAACAATAAGCACCCAGAATGCCTAACTCTTTGCTCAGGAGAGTTTATTGTAAATGATTATATTTCTTTATTGTCAAAGGTATGCTCATGCAACTCTTCATGAGAACCTTTTATTGTAAATTGCTTGTTTGCTAAGGTAAAAAAAAAAAATAAAATAGTTATCAAAAACATCTACATATGATAATTAACATGAATTAAACTGTGGTATGTAATAAGTAAGTACTCAGTAATTATTTACTATAGTGACATTGTGCATTACATTGTCAGTTATACTGTAATCAAAATAAACAATAGACTAAACTGCACCCGGTCAATTGGACCTATAAATCACTTTTTCCATTAAATAAGAAGATTTTTTCTATGGATATATAAAGACTGTGTGTACGAATTGGCTAATTTTTTTTTTTTTTTTTTTTTTTTTTTTTTTTTTTTTTTTTTTAGTAATTTTGATTTAAAACATTGAGCAAATAATCAGTATTATTATTAATAAAGGCAAGAGACTATATATCTTTAATTTCCACACGATCTTTTCAGCCGAAAAGGAAAGAAAATAATTTTAATTAAATGTTTATACATTTTTTTTCTTGTTTTCTATAATTTAAACTTTAATTTCTGCGCATGAGTATTTTTGCCACAAGAAAAGTGAGCTTTAATTTTAGAAATATGTATTTAAAAATTGATTAAATATCTAAGCAATTAAAAGAACGAGAACGATTCTTTTCGTAAGAAAATCTACTATAATTGTTAAATTCGAAATACAATGTATGCCTGCAAGCTACATTTGTGTAATGATTTCATGTAAACAGGTTCGTCATCCACGTATATTTATTATACCAATTTAATTCCTTAATATCACCTTTTGAATACTTTCAACATTTGAGTCAACCGAAGTGAATTTTATTTACCGTACCTATATCAAAACAAAATCCTTACAAACAAAGATGCATCAGCTGTAGGCTCCAGTAAAAGTCGAACCAAGCCCTATCTCTCTTTCTCCAAAAGGTATTAAATGTACTGTACCGTAAATCAAGTGTGGGTACTCAAAAACTCCAAACATCTTTTAGAAATTGAAATCACAATATCTTTTTCCAAAATCAGTATCAACAAACGTTTGACTTTTCAACGCTTTATAAAATCATTCCTTACGATGAATTTAAAACTAGGCTTTTTGACATTATAGACAACTGTTCCTTTAATAAAAATAGATCTTTGAAATTTTTATATCATCTGATTAGTCATCTACAAGCTATGTCAAACATCATTCTATTCTCCAAACTATTATTATGAAGTTGATACAATTAAAAAGACACTGAATCCCCCTTTTAACAATAGCAAAGTAAATTTTAGATACCACGTTTTCCAACAATCTGTTGGAATTTTGTTGGGCACTTATTGTGCTTTCTTATTAACAGACATGTTTTTTATTTTATTTTTATGAAGCAGAAGTTATTAAAACCAAATTTCTGCATGAGAACAAGCAAATTTTTGCCGAGATATCGACAACATTTTATCAGAGAACAATAGTTACATAATGTATTTTCATTCATAAATCAACCCGATATATCACATACCAATGAATGTCAAATTAAAGACATCAAAAAAGTCTGCCACATCTTTTTCATAATTTGGTGTTTCACTGATTATTGATGTTAATAGCCAACAAAATTGACTAACGGGATGGCCAGCTGGAGTTTATGTCTGCCACATGATTCGGTACGCAAAAGCATGTGTTGACCATAGTTAATTTTTAAACTTATAGGCAAGCTAATTAATACAAAAAGCTGATGTTACAAGGCTTTCAAAAATTCTTAAAGTCAGCATTTTGCAAATTTTATGGTCGATGTAATTACCTTGTTTGCAAGTACAACCTACCAATGAATCAGCCTTGTTTTGTACGCCATTGTTTTTTTTATACTACGTTTGACTACCTATTACTGCATATACCTGGTCAATACAAACGGCTCACGGCTGGAGTGACCGGTCGAGTAGGCATACTCCTCTTAGACTCACAGCTGGAGTGACCGGTCGAGTAGGCTCACTCCTCTTAGATTCACGGCTGAAGTGACAGGTCGAGTAGGCACACTCCTCTTAGGCGCCAGATGTTTCTAGGGGTCCGTGTTTAGACTCACGGCTGGAGTGACCGGTCGAGTAGGCAACTCGACATTTAGATATATCGACGACGTATTATCAATTAAGAATAGTTATTTCCATTCATATGTCGACTCGATATATCCCAGTGAGCTTGAAATAAAAGATACCACAGATTCTGATACATCTGTTTCATATTTGGATATTTTACTAGAAAAAGACTTAATAGTAACCTAAGAACCAAGCTTATTGATACAAGTGATGACTTTAACTTTTCAATTGTCAACTTTCTTTACTTATGTAGCAATATATACCCTTATCACCTGCATATGGGGTTTGTGTCTCTCAGTTGATTCGATACGAAAGAGCATGCTCTACGAACGAACAATTTCGAAAACGAGGCAAGCTATTGACAAACAAGTTGATGAAACAAGAATAACAACAGTCTCGTTCAAAGTCAGCATTTTGCAAGTTCTATGTCGATACAATGTTCTTGTCAGCAAATACAATCTATAATTAAGTCATACTAATTTTATTTACACACTGAATAATGGATTTCTCCGTTTTTCCAATTATGATAAGGAGCGCACAGCGGGTGTGACCGGTCGACAGGGAATGTTCACTCCTCCATGGCACCTGATGATCCCAATTCTAATGTTTTAGAGGTACGTGTTTTCTCTGCTCCTGATTTTTATTGAATGGACTTCTGAGCTTGAAAACTGTTCGTTTATCTCCTTAGTTCACTGTAATAATGAACTACTTAATCAAAAAAAAAATTAAGGTAGAATAAGTTGGGTATCTATGTGTATTTTAATTACATTGAAAAGTAATGTGCTTCTACTTATATTTGCTAAAGCAATGAACATGTATTTCACAGAAAAAATAAATATAAAAAGGCCTTTTGCAATATTGATCAGTGACAATGTTACCAATTTTAAATTACCAGGATGATTTTCAATAAACAAAAGGGAAACAATGCACTTAAATAAAACTTTTATCGTTAAGTATATTGTTGTTAGATTATCTCAGTGATTATACATGTGAGTACAGAGTCCATCTACTTACGATAATGACCCACACTCACTATGTACTGTATACAGCTGACACTGACAGCCATAACACTGATTATAGGAATCAATACTGTACGGATAGCAAAACCAGAGTGGCCGGAAAACTACAAAGTAAGGGCATTTAATTTAATATTTACTATTTGTCAGGATATTGTTATGCATTATTTAAAAAATTATGAGGAAAAATACGATTATCTCAAAGATAGAAAATTGGATAGATTTTAGTTGACTTAACTTATCATGTAATTTTTTAAATAT